AAGAGTATTATCCAAAAGTTGGTAACACCTAAACACTGTTCCTTGCAATCTTCTCCTGGGCATAGTGAACAACAATGGTTTTGTTTGTGCCCTGTTCTGGTCATTTGAACCCAGAGACTCAGAAATCAGTGTCACACCAGAAGCAACCCAACAAGGTACTGGGGAAGCTTCTCCAAGGAGCTACAGAACTTGAGATTAATGATGATAAGGTCAAGTGCCCATGGGTAAGGATCAGGGGGAAAGCCAACAAGGCTGATATCTGTTGCATCAGGCCAGAGCTTCTCTGGCTCTATCACTTCAGCCTGTGACAGGAGTGGGTCACGCCCCAGGAGCAGGATGACCCCAGGTGTGACTAGAGCACTTGCTCTACAGCTTTTTGGCTGTCAGACTGCACTCTGAGGAGGCAAGGACGAGAGAGAGGTCTTTTGCACGGGATAATAGAGAATTATTGCTCTGGGCAATCTTGCGAGCAAAAGACAGAAAATGTGAGTGTGCAACAGCTGAAATAGGGAGGCGGTTCAAAGGGAGGGTACAAAGCATCAGCTAATCAGAGATGTCCTGGGGAGGGTAGAAGGCAGGGTTCACAAAATCATCATCCAATGAGGGAGGTAGGGGGGGAAAGTTGGGTCACATGGACTAATCAAGTGTTGAAGTTTAGGGGATTTCCAAAGTGGAATTCCAAGCATGCAGTGGGCCTAAGACAGATTGACAGGAGACTCAGGGTAGATTGACAACATGGGGTGGGAGGGTCTCATTTGGACCAAACCATCAACTTAGGTAATAACAGAACATAACATTAACAAGAAACACACTGCAACAGACATCCTGGTGGGGGTCTGTTTTAGACCACCCAGCCAGGATGAACAGGTGAATTAGTCTATAAGCAGCTGGAGAATGTTTTGTGATTGACAGTTCTTGTTCTTGTTCCTGTAGGAGACTTTAACTTGCCAGATGTCTGCTGGGAACTCAACATGGTGGAGAAGAGGCAGTCCAGGAGGTTCTTGGAGTGTTTGGAGGGTGGCTTCTTGTTACAGCTGATGAGTGAGCTGAGCAGGGGTGGGGCCCTGCCAGACCTGCTGTTTGCAAACAAAGAAGGTCTGGTGGGGGATGTGATGGTTGGAGACTGTCTGGAGCACAGAAACCATGAAATAATCGAGTTTTCAAAATTCTGTGAAAAAAGGAGGGGCAGCAACAAAACTTCTGCACTGGAGTTACAGAGAGCAGACTTTGGCCTGTTTAGGGTGCAGATTTGAGGAGTACTGAATCAGGTACTGATTTTTTTAAGGGAAACAGCCCTTAAAAACTAAAGGGTCCAGGAATCATGGACACACTTCAAGAAACAAATCTTGAAGTTGCATGAGTAGCCTGTCCCTGCATGCCAAAAGATGAGCCAGCAAGGGACACAGCTGGCCTGGATGGGTAAGGAGCTTTTGGAGGAACTCGGGGAGGGGTGGGGGGGAAAGAGGGTGCATCACACTTTGATGGAGGGCCAAGCAACTCAGGAAATGTGTAAGGATAGTCATTGTCCTGGGGTGATTGTGGTGTCAAATTGTATCCCCATTCATCCACCTAGCCCAGAGTATCCTTAAAACTTCATCTAAGAGTAAAAGTGAGTGAAGAAGAAGCACTGAGTCTGTTATCAGAGACTGTACTTGCTCCCCCTGCATCCCAGGACGGGGTTTTGACTACAGCACAGTCAGACAACAAGAGAGAGAGATCACCTTGGCTTTCCAACTAGCCAGAGCAGAGAGGTCTTCCTGGACTGTTTTCTTTCCCTTTTCCTTAGAACAGATCAAACCTGCTCTGAACTGGGGACTCGGTGGAGCACTGGGATCTTGCACCCGTGGACTACCGGGAGCCCAGACTGGGCAGCGGCATTTTCCAACACCAGAGAGACTGATAACAGAGCAAACACCCACAGCAAAGAGACCCTCTGAAGTTTGTCATCTCTTCGGAATGGTGAGAGGTTTTGTAATTTGATCTTGTTCATTCTTGTGCTGAGTAGTGCTTTGCCAGTTAAATAAACAGGTTTCTTCCACTTCTCTTAGAGAAATCCCTTCCTGAACAGTTGCGGTGTGGGAGAAAGGGGCCACATGGGTTTGCTTCCTGGCAAGGGGGGCCCATTGGAGGTTTTCTCCCAGATTTGCCCTAAACCAGGACAGTCATGCAGAAAGGAAATTAGAGTGATGAAAGCTCAAATAGAACTTAACCTAGCCACTTCTGTCAAGGAAAATAACAATGCTTTTTAAAATACATTAATAGCAAAAGGAGCGAGGACACCCTCCATTCCTCATTGGACACAGAGAAAAAGGCTGAGGTACTTAATATCTTCTTTGCCCCAGACAAGTGTTCTCCTGAGCTGGTAGATGGCACAGGGAGCAGAACAGGCCTGCTGTAATTCAGGAGGAAGCAGCTGGGGACCTGCTGAGCCACTCAGATGCTCACAGGTGTCTCTGGGACCAGATGGGATCCATGCTAGGGGCATGAGGAAACTAGTGCATGAGCTCCCCAAGCTGCTGTCCTTCATTTACCATCAGTCTTGGCTCACTGGGGAAGCCCCAGAGGACTGGAGGTACCAGAGTGACCCCATCCCCAAGAAGGGCTGGAAGGAGGATCTGGGCAACTCCAGGCCTGTCAGTTTGACCTCAGTGCCCAGCAGGGTCATGGAACAGATCGCCTTGAGTGCCATCACAGGTCACCTCTGGGATGGCTGAGGGATCAGACCCAGCTAGCGTGGATTTCAGTATCTGCATTGATGATCTGGATGAGGGGATTTGTTGCACTGAGAATCAGACTGTTTTCATAATTTCTAGCCACTTTCCCAGTTAAGTAACTATAAACATAGATGTTTATACATTCCATTAAAGATATGCCTTTTGATAGACATCTCTCACAGCTAGTGTGGTTGGGAAGGTGGAAACCTGACAATCCAATCCCTGGTCATTGTTGAAAACCTATAAATACTGAAAGAACAGAACAAACTTTCTTCTTCCCTCATCACACTTCGAGCTGTGTCTGTGTGAATCATTTCATGTCCAACAGTGACAGAAATTGAGTCCAACATCAGCAGATTTGCAGGTGACACCAAGCTGGGTGTGAGTGTGGATCTGCTGGAGGGCAGGAGGGCTCTACCAGAGGGACCTGGAATGGCTGTATCCAGGGCTCAAACCCAACAAGGTGAGGTTTAACAAGACCAAGTGCCAGCTCCTGCACTTTGGCCACAACCCCTGCAGTGCTACAGGCTGGGGACAGGCTGGCTGGACAGGGGCCAGGCAGAAAGGGAGCTGGGGCACTGATGGACAGCAGGCTGGACATGAGCCAACAAGGCCAATGGCACCTGGCCTGGATCAGGAATGTTGTGGCCAGCAGGAGCAGAGCAGTGATTCTTCCCCTGTGCTTGGCACTGATGAGGCCACACCTCAAGTGTTGTGTCCAGTCCTGGGCCCCCAATTTAGGTAGGACATGGAGGGGCTGGAGCATGTCCAGAGAAGGGCAACAAGGCTGGTGAAGGGTCTGGAGCACAAGTCCTGTGAGGAGAAGCTGAGGGAACTGGGGATGTTTATCCTGGAGAAGAGGAGGCTCAGGGAAGACAAGGTCGTGTCAGGCCCTGGGCCTCCTCTTCAGAAGGTCCAGCAGCCCAGGTCCCTCAGCTTCTCCACACAGGCCCCAAAGCCCATCCTGTCAGTCCTGCAGAGCCTCTCCAGCCTCTCCTCATTTCCCAGAACAGGGAGCCCCATACCCAGACACAGCAGCCCAGATGTGCCCCCCTGGCCTGTGGTGCCCCTGGCAAGGGAGCAGCACAAGGGACTACAGGACCCTGCAGACAATTCCTGAAGCACTTGTAGGATGATCCTGCTCCCCAAGGGACATTCCCATGGTGCCAGCTCAGGAACTGAAATGGGGAGTAGGGCCAGAGGGGAAAGGGCAAACAGAGATGGGCTGTTTGCAGAGCAGGGGACAGGGATGTGCAAGAGGAAGAAATGTGGAGCAGGAAAGAGTTAAAAAAGCAGATGTGGAGCAAAGGAAATGCTCAGGGCTGTCTGGAGGTGGCTGCCAGGCAGCCCTGGCTCTAAGCAACAACGTCTGCAGTGGGACAGGAAACTCACAGCTCATGGGAACAAACTTTCTGGCTGACTTTACAGAGCCCCAGCCATGCTGTTTGCCCCCAGCCTGCTCACGGCCACCCTGGGGCTGTTCACAGGGGTTTTCTGTGCTGAGCTTTGGCCTGGGCGTGTTCTTGAGAGAGCCTGGGCAAGGAGCCTGGAGCCCCCAGGCCCTGCCCTGAGGCGTCAGCGCTGCCCCAGCAGTGCCCATGGCCTGTCCCTGCTGCAGCCCCGGCACTGCCACCCCCAGGGCTGTGCCTGGCCCCGAGAGCACTCAGGCCCTGCAGCAACACCAGGGCCAGGAGGGCAGTGGGGCAGTGGCACAGGAGCAGCACTGGCAACAAGTGCTGCTGCTCCTGGGCACAGCTGCTGTGCCAGCACTGATCTGCCCCCAGCTCTGCACACAGATACTGCTGCTGCAGCTCCAGAGAAGGGAACAAAAGGGGATCTCTGGGGAAAACTTTGCTGGGAGATCCTTCAGTTCATTTAAAGCCACCAAGAGCACAGCTTCTCATTGACACAGTCTGGGGCCACAGCAAAGTTGAAGAGAAATAAAATGAGAATGGGTAGAAAGACCTTTCTGTAGGAAAACATTTTAACAAAGCAAGGGCATGATATTTTAGTCAAAGCCTGTCTGCACAACCCAGCTCTCAATCCAGGCGACAATTCTAAGGACAGTTGTCGCTCTGAAAACTCAGTTTTTCAATCTTGTTGACATAATTTCTCAAAACTTTCCCAGGACAGTGACTGTAAACATAGATGTGTATACATTCTTTCTGATACACGTCTTTTGATAGACATCTCTCACAGACAGTGCAGTTGAGAAAGTGTTAACCTGACTATCCAATCCCTGGCCATGGTCAGAAACTTATAAATACTGAGAGAAAAAATAGTCACCTTTCCTTCACCACACCTCAAAGTGCGTCTACGTGACTCATTTCATGTCCAACAGCAACAGACAGTGTCCTTGAAGCTCTCCTGAACAATGAGAATAAAGAAAAACAATGGCATTGTGTACTGGGGAAAGAATGTAAAACAATAGGTATTAACCAGTAGTAGCTTGCTAAGCCCACAGACCCTGTTGGACCCTATAAAAGTGTGCTAAAGATAAAAATAAACGACATTCACTATACTTCTATGAAGACTTGGTGAATAGTCTGAGTGGTTTTCCAATAAGTCCCCACTAAAAATCCATCCCGATCCGAACCCCCCAAACTGCCAGTACATCCCGCCCCCAGAGGTTAGCAATAGCTGTGGCAACATAAACCCAAACTATTGCAGATTGTCCCTCTGAGTTCATGATCTGCACCAGCTGCTGGCTGATGAAGCATGTGGCCGTTCCACCCAACCCTGCGACAGGCAACTCCACAGGATCCAGAGGCCACTGCGGGGGCCACACAGAGGAGGCCAGGATGGTGACGTCGGCACCTGTGTCAATCAGGCCTTGCAGGTGGATTTCTGGTGGGGTAGCACCAGGGAGGCACACGGTACACCACATCTCAGGCCTTTCATCAGTCAGGGTTGCAGTCCAGTACACCCGAGGTGGTCCAGTTGATCCAAAGTAACCATCCCCTTGTCACCAGCTCACAGCCCTAGAAACTGAGGACTTGAAAGGCACAAGTTGAGCAATGCATGTTTTCTAAGGAACAGTGAGGGGAGGGGTGGGGTGGGCATGGAAACCATAGCAGAAGTTTGTCCTGAATAATCAGCATTGATAAGTCCCAGATGCACAATGATAACCTGGAGGGTGGCACTTGACCACCTCATCAGGAGAGCACTTTTACCCTCCCCCAGGGGTCCATAGGCATCCAAAGGAGCTCTGTGCACTTTGCAAGAATTCAGGACTACTGTTGCTGCTGTGCAGATATCAAGTCCAGCTAAGCCAGAGGTGTTAGCCACAAGCTGGCTGAGCAAGTCCGCATCAGCTTCAGGACCTGGGGAAATGCTTACGTCTGAGCGTGTTTCCCCTTTGAGCTCAGCTTTGTATTTCCCTGATCTGGCAGAGGCTGGCCTTTAGTCTCAAATTTCACTGTACAAGCCTCTGCAAAGTGATTTGGCCACCTACACCATGCACACAGAAACGAGGGAGCTTTCCCTTTCTGCTTCTGTTTCCCCTGCTTCTCGGTGGCTCGTGCTGTTTCCTGCTTCTGCTGCTTACCTTTTTGTCCCTTTGAGGACCCTGGTAAGGCAGTAACCAAGGCAGCCACCTTGCAATCTGGGGTGCCCATGTTTGCACAAGCCTGAGCCATCTGTGCCACAGATGGGTCACCTGGGAGGGCCTGTATTATCCTCTTACAGTCATCACTGGCATTGCTTCTTGCCAACTCTGTGAGCAGTAGACGTCTCAGATCTGGTTCGTCTACTTGCTTCTCTAAGGAGGCAGAGAGTATCTCAATGAACTGCATGTACGGCTCCTTAGGTCCCTGGACAATAGTAGCAAACTTTTGCTTTGGAGCAGACAGCTCTATTGTTTTCATCAGAGCTGCAAAGCCAGTCCTCTGGCACTGCTCCAACATCAGCAGGTGGAATGTGACCTGAGAATCAGGGTTAGAAAAATTTCCAATCCCTGTCAAAAGGTCAGGCCCAATCCTAAATCTAGAGTCCTCTTGACGCAATTGACTATTTTGCCCAGCCACTTTTATGGGTATCTGACTCCAGTTGTCCTCAAAAATCTCAAATTGAATAGGCTGAAACAACACCTGAGCAATGTACCTAATATCATATAGTACCAGTGGCTCAGAATTAAGAATGTGTATCATGTGCATTACCTCCTGAGATCCCAGTCCATGCTGTGCAACCTTGTCTCTGATACCCATCACTGTTTTTGTGGTCAGGCCTGTTCTAGAATTTCCTTTTATTACAGGAAAAGCCTGAAGACCCCCCTGCGAGGTCACAGCATCTCTGTGATCCTGCCCGTTAGATGTCACAGGAGCAGAGACAGTCCCCTGGCTGGAGCTTGTCTCTCCTGCACTATATTGTCTATTCCTGGCAGAATCTGAAAAATCAAAGAAACTGTGTCCAATGCCTCTAAATCTTTCCATTAGGTCCCAGTCCCCCATCTCCATTGCCTTTTCCTTTACTTTGTCCCAAAATTTCCTCAGATCCCCAGGCCGCACGGTAACCTGGCAAGGCAGCAGAGTCCAGTGTGTACTCGAGTGAGGGCTGTCTCTATGTCCTGCACTCCGAGCAAAAGAAATATCAGTATTTCCAAATTATCCCCACTTGAAGTGCGCAGTCTGAACCCTACTGCTCATCAAGCAACTGCTCATCAGCCCTGTTACGCTCGTAACTACTGCCTGACAATCACATTATCAAATAAAATGTAGACTGAATAATGTAAATGGTTGTATCTTTTCCAAAACCCACAGTGTCCTGAACAATACAAGCTGCACCGAGCAGACACTCGCCCTGCCGAGCCAGAGTCACCACAATCCCCTATGGTAAACAAAGGAGACTGGTTTTCCCCTGCCCCAGCAGCTGCAGCAGCCAGGGGGGCGTTTCCTGCCGGCTCCGAGGCTCAGCCGACACTGTCCTGCCGAGGAAAGAGGGCCTGAGGGCCGCCTCTGCTTCCTCCTGGCACCGCTCCCACCGCCGGGGCCGCCCCGGCCGGGCTGCCTCCTCCGCCTGGGCGGTGCCAGCCCTCACCGCCTCCCTTGGGCCTGTGCCGGCTGTGGTGGGCAGTGTAGTTCCCCGCGCAGCTCGTTCCGCTCGTTTGCCCCGCGGCGGCGCCAGCACTGTCCGCTCCCCGCCACGGCGGGGGAGGCGCGGGGTTTTGGAGCGACGCCGTCTGAGTCGNCAAGTGGGCAGCTAAGACTCACAGCTACAAAACCTTTCAGAATGTTAGCGTTCAGGAACACACATAATCACAGAATGATTATATGAAGGTGCTTTATTTAAAGAGCTCTGGGTGTCAGGGGTACACATACCCAAATCTGACCCCATTTGGGTTTTCGAGTTGAACATATTTTATACTCTATCGTTATGCAACTTACATATTAATTATTAAACTTATATTGTTCTATTGTAAGCATTGTTTTTATCCAAGCATGAATTTCTCGTGATCCCCCCTTAGCCCCCTAACATTGTTCCTCATGTTCTTTAAACAATAATTATATCTAATCACATCTAACAATTGTATTATTTATCATATACTGACTACACAGGTGCAGCTTGACCTGATTTTTAGCAAGCACAAGGCCTAACATTTCCCAGGGCCTGCTCTTCCCAGGGCTTTCCAAACCTAACTTTCTTTCTAAGTCCCCGAATTTTCTAAGATTTTAAGACCTTTTACTATCACCTGCGGGACCCCGCCCGCACCGACCACGGCATCCGAGTGCGGAAAAAGGAACAGCGCACTGTTATAAATTTGTATTGTGATATTGGCTTTCGCAGATGAATATATATATTAAATACTTTTTAGCTATGCTAACAAGTCTTAAGTTTAAAAGAATTTCCTAGGTACAAGGCAAGGAAACCCCAGAGGGCAAGGACACTGGGGCCCAAGTTGTTATCAGGAGAACAATAGAACCCAAACTGTTATCAGCGGAAGATATGAAGACCAGCTGCCCTCAGGGGAAGGATGAGGGGCCCAGGCTGTTATCAACAAGTGACCATCTGCAGCAAAAAGGAAACCAAACTCCAAAATAATGCTGACCAGCTAGAATAATAATGACCAGCAAAAATTATGCTGACCAGCAGAAAATAACATGATCCGAGAAGGTGGAACCAGGGAGGGGACATGCTTGAATATGCATTAACCTCTCACAGCAAGGATGGGATAAAAGGAGTGTTCCCGAAATACCAGGTGTGTTCCTGACAACCCACCAGGGCACCCGGCCGTTTTAACCCTTTGCTTTATTTCTTTTGTCTCCTAATTGTCTTTTGTTTATATTAAATTCTTTTTATAATTTATTAAGTGAATCTCGTTTTTAAGAGCGCACACGCCACAGTTTTGGGAGGGCGCAGGGGTGGGTTTGAATAGGTCCGTCGGCACGGGCAGCACAGGGGGGCCTTGAGCCGCACCCCACCCCGCGGGAAGCGCCACTGGAACGCCGCCTTCCCTCTCCTCCCGCGGCTTCCCGAGCGGGCGGAGAGGGAACACGGTCCAAATCCTCTCCGCCCCCCTCCCCTTGGTCAGTCGCCATGGGAGACTCATCAAACAGAGCACCCGACCCTCTGCTGTCATCACTAAAGGGTATGTCAGGGGAGAGGCTGCCATCCGAACTGCCCTGGACCACTCCAGCCGTGGTTTCCCGTGTGTCCTGATCCAGGGAAACGTCTTCTGGGTCCGACCAGTCTCCTGGATCGGAGCCTGTGTCTGAGACGGCTCACGAAGACTCTCTGGAGCTAGCTGCTTCTATCACATCCATGAATTTTCTCCATGGAAGGAGAAGTTTGGCTTCTTCCCCACCGCCCAACAGCACCAGCTGACCCAAGGCTTCACCGAGACAGTGCCAGTGTGCCTTCAGCAGGGCGTCAGCAGCGGTTGAAAAAAACCCTGCTCTCTTCACCATAAATACAAGGCATTAATATCTGCCTCAGGAATGTTCAAGTCATGCCTGTGCAAAATATCAAGCCATAACTCCAGCACCAGCTACTCAACTCAAGATGGTAATTTTCATGTCATCAGGTCACAGGGAAAGGGTCTCCAGCAAAACGGCAGGCAAAAACCCACAGTCTCGACTGAAAATTCAGTTTTTCCCAGGTGGGGGGATGGAGGATGGCTTTTACAATCTCCAGCTGTGGTGTCGATGCTGCTATACCAAGTTGCTATACCAAGATGTTGCTTTTGGACATGATGTAGAAGTGTCCCACAACTTGCTAGGAAAAGGGGCCTTTATTCTCCAAACTTCAGCTTTTATAGGGTCTTACACTACAGGTTTAACATGATTGGGTAAGGGAACACCGCCTCTTGCCCCATTGGTTGGACAAGAGAAAAAACACGCTATCTACAGTTATGCAGAACTGTTTTAAGAAAGCAAGATGATTTACAAATGTTGTCCTTGAGTGCGAGATTTCCCAAGAAACTTTCCCTTGGGAACAGATCTGCCACTGACAGCCTGCAATCCCTCAGGCTCAGAGAAAATCAGGTCCACAGGCAGGCATTGGAAGAACTATTAGAACAATTTATTCTTGAAAATGAAATACAAATCCTACAGTATGTGGATGATTTGCTAATATCTGGAAAAGAGAAAAGCAGGGTAAGGGGGACCAGTATCCGGCTTCTCAATTTCCTTGGGATCAAAGGCCTGAAAGCGTCCCGGGACAAACTGCAATTTGTAGAACCCAAAATCACTTACCTAGGGCACATAACTGTGGAAGAATACAAAAAGCTGAGCCCTGAAAGAATATCTGTCATCCTATCTATACCAGTGCCCAAAACCAAAAGAGATGTAAGGAAACTCTTAGGTCTTTTTGGGTATTGTAAATTGTGGCTGGACCAGTACACCCAGAGCGTGAGGTTTCTCTATTACAAGCTAGTGGACTGCAAACCCATAGAGTGGACAGCTGAAGATGAGAAGCAACTGAGCGATCTAGAAGAGAAGTTATCTTCAGCACCAGTTTTAAGCCTACCTGACCTTAAGAAAGAGTTTGATCTGTTTATAAATGCAGAGGAAGGAGCTGCTTATGGAGTGCTGACTGAGGAGTGGGGAGGGTGCTGAAAGCCGGCAGCTTACCTGTCAAAACTGTTAGATCCAGTAGCTCGAGGGTGGCCAACCTGCCTACAAGCAATAGCAGCAGCAGCTATTCTGATAGAAGAAACCCCAAAATTGTCTTTGCAAGGAAGGGTTAGAGTTCACACTCCACATGATCTTGAAACTATCTTGAGTCAGAGGGCCCAGCATTGGCTAAAAGATTCCTGGATATTAAAATATGAAATTATCTTGATGAATACAAATAGTTTAGAATTGGATACCTCAAAGCTTAAATCCAGTACAATTTCTATTGGAGGAACCCTTACCTGAGCTAGAACATGATGGTCTAGAACTTGTAAATCTATAGATGAAAGTAAGGGGAGACCTAGAAGACGTACCTCTGCCCTATGGAAAGATATTTTTTGGTGATGGGTCCCCAAGAGTAGTGGAGAGCAGAAGAAACTCGGGATATGCAGTAATTGTAAGAACAGAAAGAGAAAACATGAAAATTCTAGAGAAAAGGAAATTACCTCTCAACTGGTCAGCCCAGTGCTGTGAAGTATATGCCCTGAAAAGAGCATTGGATTTATTAGAAGGAGATAGAGGGACTATGTACACCAATTCGCGATATGCGTTCGGAATAGTCCACACTTTCAGAAAAATATAGGAAGAGTGGAGATATTTGAATTCAAAGGGGAAAAATTTGGTACATGAAGAATTAATAAGATCTGTATTAGAATCTCTGCCTAAACCTGTAGAAATAGCGGTGGTACACATCAGGGGACATCAGAAAGGGAATCCCTTGGAAGAGAGGGGAAATCGATTAGCTGATCGGATACCCAAGGAAACAGCTTCAGATCTGGAGAAGCCAATAAGAGTTCTCAAATTAGATAACACACCACCTAGGACAGAGAAGGGGGAAGAACCAATATTCAGTAAAAAAGAACTAAAAGCAGTAAAAGAATTTGGACTACATCAAGGGGAACAAGGGGAGCAGCTTACATCTGATGGCTGCAAATTTTTAAACAAAGCTTTAGCCTGAAAGGTACTAACCAAGATACATGGATTGACTCATTGGGCAACCCAAGGTTTATGCGACCACTTCTTAAGGGAAATCTGTGTATTGGGATATATGATTTAGCAAAGGCTATAACCAGAGGGTGTATCATCTGTCAAAAGGTGAACCAGAAGGTAATGGGGAAAACTGAGCCTGAAGGGAAACAGCTAACCCTTAGACCTTTCCAAAATGCACAAATAGACTTCACAGAGATGCCTCCTATGCAAGGTTACAAGCACCTATTAGTAATAGTTGATCATCTTACTCACTGGGTAGAGGCCTTCCCAACTAAGAAGGAAACAGCAGAAGTGGTTGCCAAAATAATATTAGAGCACATCATTCCCAGATATGGGCTAGTTAATAACCTTGATTCAGACAGAGGGCCACATTTCATTGCCCAAATGTTACAAGCAACAATCAGAGCTCTAGGTGAGAGGTGGAGATTACATACTCCATGGCACCCCCAGAGCTCAGGGAGGGTGGAGAGGATGAACAAAACCCTAAAGAATGTGTTGACCAAATTAATGGCCGAAACCCAAATGAACTGGCTCAAGTGTCTACCCCTTGCCCTCTTAAGAACTAGGACGAGGCCTTGATCAGACCTTGGGGTCTCGCCATATGAGATGATGTTGGGGCTCCCTTTCCTGATAACACTATATAGTGTAGATTATTCAGAAGGAGAGACAATAGCACGTAAATACTTAGGAAATATTGGAAGGACATTAGAAAAATCTCAGGAAAAAGGATACCTTCCCCAAACCTCTCCCGTTGATACCAGTGCCCATCAGATTAACCCTGGGGACTGGGTATTGGTTAAGTTGTGGTATGGCACCCCACTAACTCCAAAATTCAAAGGTCCCTTCCAGGTGTTGCTTACCACCCACACCACAGTACAGACCCAGGAAAAGGGCTGGACTCATATCACCAGGATTAAAGGACCCGTATCACCTCCTGATGGTAAGTTGGATCCAGCAGCGACACCCACCAGTTCTTCCAAGTAGGTTGCAATCCAAAATCCTTCAGATCTCAGAGACCTTTAGGAAACAGTCAAAGACTAGTTGAAAAATACCATAGACTGCAGAACTGCTATATCAATGGTTATTGTCAACTGCCATAAGAACTGTTATATCAATGGTTATTGTTAATTGTCATTGTAGGACCAGTTATATCAATGGTTATTGTCAACTGCTTTGGAACCAAATTATAAGATTGGAAGTTAAGGGAAAGGGATTTAGGACCGACATCTCCTGCAGAGCATTCCCTAAGGACTATTAAATTAATAAAAAGTGGGAACAAAGAGAAGGCTCTACCATCTTTTCCAGGGAAATTCCCAGACCCAAGAGTTAAGACCTGGTGAGGCCAAAAAGCAGGTGAGCCATGAAGCCCGCCATACCAGGAATGGCTCATACCGGACTCTTGGGAGGACTAACGCTAATCCTGCTCATGAACAACATCGTAGAGGGTACAGGAGCTGGCTGTACGAAGTGCTACCACCCTCTTTATGATGGAGAGAACCTTGGGTCCCTAATGAGGGTCCATACAAACATTAACCCCTCTTGTTTTGATCATTCCCAATTGGGCACCTGCCAAGAGAATGGGAAAACATATTGGGTTACAAGAAATACAGCCTCATTTAGGCAGCGCCTGCTTGGGGAATGCCCTGCAGAAGCAGCTTGGTTCTGTTTTGAACATGAGGGATTGGATGACATGGTAAAGGAAAAGCCACTAATAGGGAAAAAGGGAGGCTTAGATGAACCTCTAGGAAAGAATCTGTTCATAGACTTAATAGAAAATATTAGTAAATAACTGAATCTTACAAACTGTTTGGTTTGTGGGAATACCCAAATGCCTGAGATTTGGCCATGGGAAGGAATCAGTTTGGGACCATCTGAAATTTTGAGATGGAAATTAATGGAATAAAAACCCCAAGCTATAGGGGAGAGGAGAAAAGAGCAGTGGGATTTGAAATAGGAAGTGATTGGTGAAGAATGTATTAAAAGAACAGGGAAGAGGTATAAAACCCAAGTGGGAAAAATGGCTTGCAAAAGGTACTTGATAGCGAGAGGAATGATGAGCTTGTCTTTACAAACAAGCTGTGGGTCAGTTGATAAGATGTAGCTATCAGTGAGAGACGACAGAAACAATGGGATGGATTCCGGTAGAAGATCAAACAGGCACTGAAAGAACACTATGAATTCCATAAAAGTTAAGAAGGGATTATGCATTGGGGGTGGGGGGGGAAGGTACCCCAGGTGTCAGGCGTTCCGGGAAGCCTGTACCTCTCAAGTACCTCAGCCTATGGGGAAAGGGAGAAGGGACAAGCGGCCAGGAATTAGGATAAAAAGGAGGCTGCGCCCTCCAAAAATTTGAGAGACCCCAGGGGAATGCCCCATGGCCTCTCCCTTTATTCGAATAAAGAAAAAGGACTCCTCTGTCTCCTTTTTGGACATAAACCTCTGGTGTTCGTGGATTAATTTTCCTGACAATAGTAAAGGAGGTAAATAGTCATTTGGTTCCTTGAGGACCAAATCGACATTGGTCCGTGTGAAAAGGGGAAAAAGGATGTATTTACCATGAAGGATATAAGCTATACAAATGTGCTGAGAAAGGGATAAACCCCTTTTGGGGAGTCAGAGAGACATCCAAATACTGGGAATGCCCTACCGAAGTACAAGATGATTTCTGGTAAGCTCCTGAACACCTGTTTTGGATCTGTGGGAATATAGCATACATCCATCTCCCAGGGGACTTGGGAGGGAGTTGCACTGTAGGAATTCTCAAACCCACTTTCTTCCTTCTCCCGAAGGAGCTGGGGATCAAGTCTAGGAGTCCCACTATGACCTAGTGTGATAGACTGGCATTTAAGAAAACAAAGAAAAAACACCTAAGGAAGTTAAAACTGCTGGCGGCTGATGGGAGTTTTTCTCCCAGCCAACAGCTGGCCATTTCCAAGATTTGACAGCAGTTTTAACCATTGAAAAGTGACCTCAACCTGTGAACACCACCTTAAGACCTAAGCCTGGGAATTTCTTTGTCTCTTTGTTTGCTGGCTGTGAAAGGTAACTGAGCTCCAGCTGGCTTTTCGTCCCCGGCCCAGCCCATGTGGCCCGGGCGAGGGCTGGGCTGGGCCTGCCGCGGCTCCCGGCTGGGAGATGGGGCCTGCGGGGCTTGCCCCAGGCTCTGGCCGGGCCAGGCCGCTCCCTGGCTCGGCTGCAGTTTTTGCTGGGACTGAATTCACCAGAGACTGTCGAGTAAAGAAAGAAAAATCTCTTGACCTGCGGCGGGCTGAGACAGTGACCACACTCTCCAGAGCAGCCATGAAGAATCTTCCATCGCAGACAGCTCCAGCCACTGCTCCAGCAGAGATCACAGAACCATCTACAAAGCCTGGGCAAGATTTTAACCTTTTCATTACCCTGATGAGACTTGCAGATTAATCCTTTTATCCAGAGAAAGAAAAAGACAGTAATCAACATGTAAGAGACTTTATAAACTATCAGAGACAGTAAAGAAAAGGATTAAACTTTAGAAAAGGTAGAGAATAAGGAGACGCTTTAATTAAGCTGAAATATTTTTCTGTTAAAGCTATGGAGATGGACAATAATGTTCTGAAAACTCCTTTAATTCATGACAGAGAGTATATTGGGAGGAATAGAGTGTTCAAAGTGTGGATTTGGAGGAAAAGGTGGAGTAATTGTGATACAATGAGGTGCTGAAACAGAGGGGGGAGAAGTAATAGTTGAAGATTTGGGGCCACTTGAGGCAAAGAGAAAACTTCTGTTTTCCAGGGAAGCTCATAGAGACAAATGAAGAGAACTTTTGTCTTTGAATGACATCCCTAGATTCATTGACCCATACACATCTCAGAGTGATGTGAAATGGGAGGAGTGAACTGATGACACAGTTTCCAGGCAGCTGGTATCAGAGAAATAGAAAGCTATAACAGAAATAGTTTTCTTGTGAGAAACTCCATAGATTAGCAGAAGAAGACTTCTTTTTCTCTACAAAGACTGATGAAAAGACTCTAGCAGGAATTGGGACAGTTTTAAACACCAAAGTTCCAAAGTTGGTTTTTTTTTGTCTCTATGTTGTCATGTAAACGAGGGAATGGTTAAGTAGTGGGGGATAAAGGGGTTTTCTGGAAGTTTATTCTGGTATTCTTATTCTTGTAGTTTAGTTAATAAGCTTTCCTTATTCCTTTTAAGTTTTAAGCCTGTTTTGCTCTTGTTCTAATCCATATTTCACAGCAAGAAATAAGTAAGTTTTCTAGTAATTAATTTAGTTACTGCTTTACTCTCAAGGCAGAGGGATGGAATTTACACAGGCTTTAAAACCACACCTCTCACTTTAACAGTGCTTATCTGAAACTAAATCTTTGCCTCCATGGGTGGGGGCACCTCACAACTGCCCCTTTTTAAAATTAAATTTTGATTAGAAGCTTAGAATGTTTCTAAAACTTACACAATAGAAAACCTAACCCTCCCATAAAGCACCCATCTTGCTTTGTGGGACACCAAAATCACTAGCACCCAACAAGAAAACACATTAAGCAAACAAACACCTAAAACTCAGCAGCCAGGCAAATTAAGCAGCAGTAGTAGTTCATAAAAACATAAAGGTTTTTTAGGTCAGTCTCTTCCAGTTCTTTATTTTCTTCTTAGGATGGGAGTAGTTCTTTGATCTCCTCTTATGAGATGCAGAGTTCTTAGTGTTCAGCCTCAGCTCTGGCACTGATGCTGTGAGCATTGCCACTCCAGATGGTCCTGATGAACCGCTGCCTTTTGGAACAAGGGATACAATTTTGACTTTCACAGAGGGGGTGCTACCCACGATAGAAAAGGCACAGCCCCCAGAGGTGGAGCATCCGGAGAAAGGGGTGGAACCAGAAGATGAGTTACTGGGGGGAGGGGGAGGCTTAGGGGCTGGGAAGGAAGGATCCCAGACAGCATGGCCAGCACCATTTTGGGAAGGGGGGATGGAGGGGTTCAGAACAGCATATTTTCATTTTCCCAGACAGGGAATATGGAAAGAGAGGGTAAAGGAGGACACAAGATGACGAGCAGATGGTACCAGACCTGCATCACTTTGGACGTTCTCATCCCTTGCTTGCCTTCAGGAAAAGGGGGATGGGATGGCAGAGAAGCACATGGGTGATGTAGAGTCAGAAGCAGCTCTGAGCCATCTTGGCATTTTTCACCCTTTGTCCTGCCTTAGGAACAAAGAAGAGGGGAAGATATGGGGAGGTACATACTAAAAAAAAGAGGGGCTTCACAGAAGCCAAAAAATAGTTTATGGGAGGAGCAGCACCATCCATATCATCCATACCATATGGTATATTATATCATCCATAAAAATCTTTCCCATGTATATAAAAATAATAAAACCACCCATAATATGTCTTGTTGGGTGATGGTAGATATTATTCTCTGTGGTGTCACAGAGAGGAAGAAATTTAGGCTGCCACTGCTGTGGTGTCATTGAGAGGGGAGCTTTGGGGTTGTGACTGCTGTGGTGTCACAGACAAGGGAATTCTCGGGCGTCAACCACTGTGGTGTTACAGATATTGGGAACATTGATATTGGTGATGAAGAGAGACAGGGACAACTGACTCGGTGATCAAAATCTGATTTTACTGTGGGTTACATAAGCTTATATACTATTCTAGGAAGGCTACAATGATTGGGTTAAATATCACACAAACATATAAACATATGCATATTTCAACATTGATTCAATCTCATCCCTGTTCTAGACCTGATTTAATAATCTTGCAATCTTCAAAGCTCTGTTCCTGCCAAGGCATCCTGGCTATCAGATCACTTAGGCTAATCAAGTCCAAGGTACTTTCTGATTTCACTATAGTTGGACCTGCACAGCTGCTGTGTCACAGACAGGGGAACGTTAGGGCTTCCACTGCTGTGGTGTCACCAACAGGGGAACGTTGGGACTGCCACCACTGACGTGTCACTGACAGGGAACATTGGGGCTTCAACTGAGGTGGTTTCACATACAGGGGAACCTTGAGGCTGCCACAGCCCAGGTGTCATAAAGAGGAGAATGTTGGGGCTGCCACTGCTCTGGTGTCATGGAGAGGGGAATGTTGTGGTTTCCACTGTTGTGTTGTCGGACATGAGACCATTGGGGCTGTCACACCTATTTTGTCATAGAGATGGATACCTTTGATCTGGCACTGCTGTGATGTCATAGAGACAGGAATGTTGAGGATGCCACCTGTGTGGTTTCATAGACAGGAACGTTGTGACTGCCACCTCTGCTGTGTCACAGACTGGGGAACGTTGGGGCTGTCACTGCTGTTGTGTCACAGAGAGGGGAACATAGGGGTTGCCACCCATTTGGTGTCAGACAGGGGAATGCTGGATTTCCACAGATCTGGTGTCACCAAGAAGGGAATGTTGGGACTACCACCACTGTGGTGTCACAGAGAGGCAAATGCTGTGGTTGCCACCACTATGGTGTCACAGAGAAGGGAACATTTGGGCTACGACTGCTGTGGTGTCATAGAGCAGGAAGTGTTGGGGCTACCATTATTGTGGTGTAACAGAGATGGGAAGCGTTGGGCCACGGTGTCACAGACAGGGGACATTTGAGATGCCAGTGTTGTGGTGTCACAGACAGGGGGACTTAGGACTGCCACCACTGTGGTGTCACAGAGAGGGGAAAGTTGTGGCTGCAACTGCTGTGGTGTAACAGAAAGGGAAAGGTTGTGGCTGCGACTGCTGCTGTGTCTCAGATATGGGTATGTTGTAGCTGCAACCGCTGGGGTGTCACAAAGAGGGGGACCTCTGGGGCTGCCACTACTGTGGTGTCATAGAGAGAGGGACATTGAAGCTGCTACCCCTGTCGTGTCATAGGGAGGGGAGTGTTTGGGCTGCCACAACTTTGGTGTCACAGAGAGAGGAAGGCTGGGACTACCCCCGCTGTGGTGTAACACAGAGGGAGAACTGGTGTCTCAGAGAGGGGAATGTTGTGGCTGCCACCTCTGCTGTGCCACAGACTGGGGAATGTTGAGGCTGTCATTGCTGTTGTGTTACAGAGAGGGGACATAGGGGTTGCCACCCATTTGGTGTCATAGGTAGGGGAATGCTGGATTTCCACAGATTTGGCATCACAGTGAGTGAGATACTGGGGCTGCTACAGGTGGTGGTGTCACCGAGAAGGGAATGTTGGGCTCTCATTGCTGGGGTTTCATAGAGAGTGGAACACTTGCACTTTCAAAGCTGTGGTGTCACAGATGGGTACACTAGGGCTGCCACAGCAGTGGAGTCACAGAGAGGGGAACATTGGGGCTCACACTGCTGTGATGTCATGGAGAGGGAAATGTTTTGGCTGCCACTTCTGAGGTGTCATAGAGAGGAGTACACTGGTGCTGTAACCACAGTGGTTTCACAGACAGGAGAGGGGAACATTGTAATTGCCACTGCTTTGGTGTCACAGACAGGGGAATGTTGGGGCTACTACCCCTGTGGTGTCGTAAAGAGTGGAGTGTTGGGGCTGCCACCCTTGTGGTGGCACAGACAGGGGAACAATGGTGCTGCCACTGCCGTGCTGTCACAGAGAGAGGAAAGCTGGGGTTTCAACCTTTTGTGGTGTCACAGAGAGAAGAAGGTTGGTTTTGCCACTGCTGTGGCATCACAGACAGGGGAATGCTGCCAAACCTCCTCTTGTACTGTGCTCATTCCATTGCTGCTCCTCTGTGACACTGCAGTACCTTCTGGGGAGATTGTCCCACTGTGGGGAGTAATGGGACTACAAGGGCTCTGTGACACTCCAGTGTCGTCCTGAAAACCTTCTGATCTTGTTTTCGTAGTTTTAGTTACTTTCCCAGGAAAGTAACTATAAACATAAGTTTTTTACATATTCCTTCTAAGAAATATCTTTTGATGGACGCTTTGCATGACCAGTGTGATTGGGAAGGTGGTAACTTAGTCATCCAATCCCTGGTCATAGTCAATAATCTATAAATACTGGAGTCAGAAAATAAAGTTACTTCTTTTCTGTCATACCACTAAGACATGTTCCTGTGAATCATTCCGTGTCCTTTAGTGACCCTCCAGGGTCTTGTAGAATCCAGAGGCCCCTGTTGGGGTCATGGGCTGTCACGGAACCAAGTGGAGATTGTGAAACTGTGGGGCTTCATGGAACCATCCATTGTGATACCTCAGGGCCTCATGGTTCCCAGGAGTCACTGTGACACTGCAGGACTAAATGGAGCCAAGGAGACATTGTGACACAGTGGAGTTCATGGAACTGAGGGGCTGCTATGACACTCCGGTGACTAAGGATGCTCAGGAGCCATTGTGACACTGTGGCTTGTGGAAACAAGGGGATATTGTTATAAGTAAACATAAAAAATAAGTAAACTATAAAAAATAGTTGTAACAAGTTGATTAATTGTTAACATTGGGTTATAAGTTAATGGTTATTTAATAGAACATGTTTCTAGTTAATGGTTAGTATTTGTTGTTAGGGAGTTAGGGTTCTCCTGGTTTTATAGGGGTAATGGGTGAGGTCAGGTGGTCAGTGTGGATGCAGTCAGGTGGAGCTGGGGGTGGCTCAGGGCTGGCGAGGTATTGCGCGGCAGTATGGAGGATTCAGCAAACCAAGAGAACACTCCAGAACATGACCTCCTAGGAGTGACATCTGTGTCATAGACAACCATTGGTGGAAGAGGTGACCAATCACTCAATGCCTTGGAGGGAGCAATCCTGGGCATAAGGGGCTCCATAAAGGTGGCAGTGGGACTTCACTTGGGGTCCTCCTGTGGAGCTGGATATCCAAACAAGAGCATTCTGTATTGCTGTAGCAGAGCTTGGGCTTATCCTGGGCTCCTGCCTCTGTTGGTATTTTTCTTTTTTGGTTAATAAAGGGTTTGACTTCTGTTTCCATCTGAAAAAAAGTTCAAGCCTGTTTATAACATTGTGATACTATGGGGTTTCATAGGGGAGTCCAGAGGCCCTTGTGGCACAGTGGGGCCAGTTGGAACCAAGGATCTGTTGGGATTCCTAAGGGTCTTGTGGTGTCCAGGGATCCCTGTGACACTGTGGGGCCTCATGGAACCAAAGGGACCCTGTTGTCGCTCTATTAGGAACGGCTGGGTAGAGATGACACAAACTCTCATGGAGTCAAAACAGAATAATCCCTCTAGTTTATTACTTCAGGCTTGTTTTATAGACTGATTCGTAGAAAGTACAGAAAGGAAACTCTTATTGGTTAGCAAACCACTACATCACCATCATTGGTCAGTGGGGCACAACACCCTCTGACTTTCTCTTGCAAAGAAAACAAGGGACAGACAAACAGCACCTGGCACGGCTGTTTTCTGTCTCTGAGGATTGTTTTGATTCCTCCTTAAAACTTCCCAGGCTACTTTCTCAGGCTGGACTTGAGCAAGCTATTCGGCCTGCAGTTTCTGCAGGCTCCCTGCAGCCTGCTCCAGAGCTAGCATCCACACCCTGTGTGATCTCTGGAACCAAGGGGACTCAGAGACACTGAGGGGCCTCCGGGTTCTCAGTCTCTTCTGACACTTGTGCCCATCTACAAAGAGGCAAAACTGGGCAGCCTGAGCATGTTGACCCAGAATATTCCCAGCTCCATGGGAGGAAGTTCTTGCCAACTGTGGTTGTAATAGATTGCTATTGTTTGTTAATCAAATTTAATATAATTGTTAAAATAAAATATTATTGCTAAAGCTGTTTTAGGAGTTAGCATTACAGAAATGTCAAACCACAATAACCACACGATATCTGGCTGCAAAAACAAGAAGCTGAAGTTGTAGAATGGCATCCAGCTGCACAAACAAAAATTAGAACATCTCCCTATTAGGGAGGATTGCCTAATTGTTATAAGATAAACGCCCAATCATGACCACCAAGAAGCAGAACAAGACCCTACCCACCACCACCAAGAAGCAGAATAAGACCCCCTAGCAACAGATGGCACAGGTGCTGACACGATTCAGAAAGACACAGATGCAGGGACTATATAAAAAGAGGAACCTCCTCAGCCAAGGGGCACGCTGTGGGTGGAGACACTGCTGAGTGGAGCTGTCCCGGCTAGCTAGCCTTTTGGTTGCTTTACTGCATGCTGAATTAATAAAATTGGCTTTTATGAATGATTATTTAAATTGTCCCTTCTATTTTTTCACGCCAATTTATAACAGTGGTGCTGTGTGTTGTTGGAGTCTGAGACAGAGTGTGTGCCCTTGTTTCTAATACTTAGTTCTAAGATCCAGAAAAACACTGAATTTTGTATAACATGAAATTCATGAGCATTTTTTCATGGTGATATATGAATTAGAGTTTAAAATAGTTTAGAAAGCAGAAGACAAGATGGATGATTTAGAATGCTGTCTCTTTTCCTTCTTCTTTCTTCTTCATGTTCTTCTAGAGGTTTTTGGGTAATAGTAGGTGATTGGATGGAAAATTCCATAGTGCAGCACACAGGTGTTTGGTCATTGGGTCATTAGGAAAAATAATATATGTGTGTATTTTTAATTGGATAAGTATAAAGATAAAATATCTGCATTGTTCAGGGCCATTTTCTGCTTTCAAAGCCAAAGTGAGTCACAAGACCATTCTGTACCATCAGAAGAAAATAAGCCAGATTGCAGTGAACTAAACTTGTGCAGAAAGTCTAGAGAGACCTGCCAAGTTTTGTGATAACATCCTAATAAACACGAGAAACAAGATCCTAACAGGCTTTGGATGAAAAAGCTGGGGGATGAGAAAATTTTTTAAGAGTTTGGCTCATTTTCTCTTATTTTTTACAGGATTCAGGATATTCAGGATGTTTTACACTTGAGTTTACTTCTGGGGCAGGTGTCTCATTGGTTCTTTTGGATATCTTAGTTTTTATTTTAGAGAAGTTGTAGACTGTATAGAGGAAGCTTATCAGCTGAATTACTGGGAAAGTGGTATCTTTAACACTCATGGAAAACTGGATATTTTTAAAGGGGGACATAACAGATTCAAAGGAGAAGAAGGAAAGGAAAGGCTGAGAAGCCTCATCCCCTGCTTTTCTTCTGACAAACTGGGTGTAATTATTAATAAACCTTTAAAATGTGTTACTGGGACTGTGAGGTGGGGTCAGACGAAGAAACTATAAGCTAAATATACTTGGCAGAAATTTTAGTACTTTTATGAATTTCTTATAAATTGTTATCACTGAGCTCAGCACAATAACTATTTTAATCTGTGTCTTTTTACTGTAAAAGATGTAAAAGAAAGGTATTAAAACTTAAAAAAAGTCTAGGGTCCAGATTTACATGAAGTTTTCTACTCTGAGAGACATTATGCATTTAAACAACATGGTTATTGACTGCTTTATCTCAATACAGAGTAAGTACAACTAAAATACAATTAGTAGTTAATACAGGCTTTTCTACTTTTTTGCCTCACACTGGGCACCAAGAACTGTATATGTCCTAGTTTAGGGCAAATTTGGGAGAGAACCTCTAAATGGGGTTCCCCCAGGAAAGCAAAATTTAAACAACTTTTCTTCTCAACTGGTTCAGGAAAAAAGACATTTCTTCGGAGAGAAGTGGAAAAAACTGTTTATTTAACAGAAAATAAATAATATTAAATAATAAAACCTCTCACTCTTTGATGGGATGGTAAATTCAGGAAGAAAATGTGGTGCAGCCCACCCCGCTCAGGTTTTTATCAGTCTCTCTCTGGTGCCAGATAGTGCCGAGACCCAGGCCCTGGTGGGTCACAGGCATGAGCTCCCAGGATTTGTCTGGGTGTTTTTCAGTCCAAAGTTTGCACAGATCTAAGAAGAAAGGTGAAAAAGTCCAGGGAACTCCTCTGCCTCAGCTAGCTAAAACTAACTAAAGGCCAAAGAGAAGCTCTGTCCTGCAGTGTGTCTGTGCTGCAGACACCACAGTCTAGGAGCAGCATGTGGGGGAGTGATGTTTTTGTTCAACACAAACTGTGCGCTTCTTCTTTCTCACTTTCACTCTCAGAGCCAGTCTTAAAGGTGCAGAACTTAATATATAGCATAAACCAGGCGACTGGGGATACCAGTATCATAAAGTCACCTCAGGACAAGGGGGGGGTTGCATCCTACAAGAGACACCGACCACTCTGGTAGCTGACACCAAAATGTCTGCTGTGGGGTGGGAGCAGAGACAACCTTTGCTCCATCATGTTGTTCAGAGCCCATCCAACCAAGAATATTTCCAAGGATGGGGCATCCAACAGGTCTCTGGAAATCCTGTGCCAGTGTTTCACCTACATCAGCATCAATGATTTCTTCCTTACCTCCAGTCTGAACTTATCCTCCTCTGCTTTAAAACCATTTTCCCTTCTCCAATTGAGAGAGACCTTACTAAAACATTTCTCCCCACATTTCCTAGGAGGTGTCTTGAAGTCCTGCAAGGTCACACTGG